TAATAATAATAATAATAATAATATTATTATTATTATTATTATTATTATTAACAGGCTGCTGGATTTAGTTAGCACAAGGCAGTTTCTCCCGGTACTTTTATTTTTCTGAGTATCTCTATTTGCAAATCCATGTGTGCAGCAGATGGGAAGCACCGTTGGAAGGAATTCAACATGCTGTATCCTAAAAACAATATCATAAGGTCTCCAGTCTTCCCAGCTGTTGTATGCCTGGCAGCCCTCTGCAACAAACCAGAAGTGAGCTCACCAGGCGTCAATGTCCTGTCTCTTCAGCTTGTCCCTCTCAAAGCTCTTCCCCGACTCTCTCTGGCATCGGATGTACCTGCAGGAGACAGGCGTCACTTTGGCATCGAACTCCGCCTGATCGCGGCTTTTAAGGGGGGGGGGGCCAAAAGGACTCGACTCATGAGGAGGAACTGGAGAGGGAGCAGCTGTTTATTCAAACATGTGGGCGAGAGGATTTGCATGCAACACAACACCAAGGTACAGTTGAAGTGCCCTTTCAAAAACGGCAACGTTCACTCCCTGTTATTTCCTTCTGTGTAATTAAAAAAAAACTTGATGAAAGCATGATGAACAAAGAGATCAGGGAGTGGTGGCAAGATTACAGATAACATGTCTTCTTGATGATAACATGTCTAATGGAGTGACATGGGTTTTGCACATAAAATCTAACTACTTTTAGACAATTGATTGAAGATTGAAAAGACTGTTTGCAGGTAGGGATCTAGTTATTGTTATTGTTGCTTTAGACACTTTACCAGCTAATTGTTTTTAATCTTATGGTACTGAACTGAGTTCTCATTGAGCAATATTTGTAAATGTTGCTTAGTGGTAAATGTTGTTACTGTTGTTCTTGTCATATATGTTATATGTTTATGAGCTCTTGATGTGCAAGACCAATTCCCACAGGGGCAATAAAGGTTATTTCTATTTAATCCACTTCCACAAAGTTACAAAAGTCAGCGAAGAAAAACATGATAGACAGTGCTTCACACTGTGAAATCTGTAGATTTAAAAGCACAAAAGCTTCACGGAGGGCTGGGCTGGGATCCTCACCTGTTTCCCTTCCGGAATTCTGACTCCAGGAAGCGAATCCCATCTCTCGCTCCGGCGTTTTCCTTCTTCAGCACGTCCAGCCCGTCAATAACTGAGGGGAAAGCGGACAGGAGAGCACGCTGACTCTTTCAGAGCACCCTCAGGAGCCTCGGCCCTATCCTCAACCCTCTTTCCCTTCCACTCCTGCCCCTGTCCGCTCCCTCTCCTTGAAATCTGCCCCTACTGGCTCCTTCCCTTTCTCCCAGCTGCTCCACGTCTCTGCCTTCTCTCATCAACGCCC